TTGCTGCAGCCACCACCGACATTGCCGCCGCTACCAACCACGACCACCACCATCGTCACAGCCACTACCGTCACCGTCACCACCACCATCATCGCCATCATTACACCACCACCACCACCATTGTCACCTACCGCCACCGCCATTGCTACATCCATTGCCACCACCACCACCACCTCTATAATGCCATCACAACCACCACCACCAAGTCACCGCTACCATTGTCGCCACCACCAACGCCACCAACCACCATCCCCACCACCATTGTCACAGTCACTGTCGTCACCTCCATAACCACCATCCCCACCACTATCACCACCGCCATCGCCGCAGCCACTGCCGTCACAACCACCACCACTATCATCACCACGTCATTGCCGCCACCACCGTCGTACCGCCACCACCATGCCACCCCCCGCCACCGCCACCACCACAACCACACCATATGGAAAGGAAAGTGATGATCTGAATTTTTTTTTATATTTAATAGGAATTATTTTTTATTATATTATTTATCATGTTATCAAACACAATTCTCATTCTCAGAATAAAAATAGAACATGTTATCAAACACATTTTTTTCTCAGAAACTGTTCCAAGGAACATAAATAGAAAAGAATTGTTTCTTTTCAGAAACAGTGCTACGGATTAGAATGGTTGTCATGCACACCCATACTTTCCACATGACCCAGGGTGAGATGACTATCACCTTGCAGGATGTGGCCGGCATATTGGGATTGCCTACTGACGGCATTGTCGTTACCAGATCTACATCCGAGGACTGGCCCGCTGTTTGTGCGGCTGTTTTTTGGCGCCCAGCCACTGGCCAGTGAGTTTCATCATTCAGGTAACCTCCGCATCTCATTCTTGGATCGTTTATATACTCGATGGATTGATCATGCCGGGGATCATGATCGCGAGATATATTTCACAAAGGCGCACATTGCCCGCATGCTGGGGTGTTGGTTGCTTGCGGACAAGTCTGGAGGTAGCAATATCGGTTGTCGGCTAGTCCCGTTGCTTGGGGGAGGATTTGATGAGATTGGCCGTTTCAGCTGGGGATCTGCGGTTCTGGCACACTTGTTCAGGAATTTGTGCGAGTGTAAAGATGCCAGTCGATCTGACATGGGTGGTTGCCATATTCTTCTACAGATTTGGGCATGGATACGATTCCCACCCATTGCTCCACCCCTTCCTCCTCATCCAGAGCCTGGCATGCATTATGGATGCCGGTATGCTTTATTAAGTTCATTCGATTTCGCTAATGATTTATCATATATATTAATTGTATACTTGCTTGATGATGATTGATGATGTATGTTTCTGATGACAAGTTTAATACGGTGGCAAGGTTTAAGCTGCATGAGGTTGTCCATTATCGGGCAACCTTGGATACACTATGTAGAGATGAGGTAAGGTTGTTGTTACTTAGTATCTTGTTATTACAGCATGCATGTATATTTTATGTAACACCGTATATTCGTTATCATTTTGTGTGTAGGTGGTGTGGCAACCATATTCTGATTATCAGTGGCTTGACACAACGTCATGCAATTGCGGCATTTGCGCGACCATTGCTTCATGGTATATTGGGATTTGAGATGCACCCATCTCACCACCTTCATCTCCTTCTGAAGCACTAGCATCCTCCGCCAGAAGACGTTCTTCCATTGCGATATTTTCATCATCATCGTCGTCATGCATTTCCCAGGTCGGATCATTTTCATCTCCCTCAGAAATGTTACCAACTGGAGACGCATGAGCGGCAGACGTTGATGGAAGACGGGGAGAATTTAAATCAACTGACCTCACCGGTAATGAAACATTCTCCGCTGTGGCGATGTCGACATACAACTCCAGAAAATCTGTCCTTGACTGGTTGAAAAATTCTTCCATTGTCATCTCCACGTCTTCATCGTCAACCACTTGCAAACTAATGTATTTATCACATTGCCATATCCTTGTCATGATCTGAGTGATACATTGGTTGCCTTGAAGACTTAACTTCTGCCGAATTCTCTGATGCAGTTCGCCAATGGTTGCGTTGCGTTGGATACGTGTCGGCCTTTTTTCACCTTCAAACATGACACCTCGTCGACCTTCTACCTTCCTACCATTGTAATAAAGACAAAACACAGAATTAGGATGTGAACTCGTTCTTAAATAGAATAAGAAATAAAATGAAAATACTAAATTAAAGATAAAAGATGTATGATGTTAGAATTTTTGGTAGAGAAGAGATATGAAGAGTGAGAGAAGAGGTGTGAAGAGTGAATGGAGTGGTAGGGGAATATATAGGGCCGCACATGTGACGCCCCAATTGGGAGTCACATGTGACGCCCCATTGAGGCGTCTCTCCTTAGGGTGTGACGTCTCAAAAGGGCGTCACATTGTGCAATAAATGTGTAAATTTTTCGAAAACTGTAATAAATGTGTAAATATTTTATTAAAAAGCATTAATTTAATTTTTTTTGCCCCAAAATATTGCACCCATAATATTTGTCTAGGAAGAGTCAGGTGAAATTGTTTGCTCTATATAATAAAGAAAATTTGATACTTTAAACTACGGAGAATTTTTGTTGTATCGTTTGGGAAACAAAAACCCTTGCAAAATTTGGAGAACAAGACGATACACAAGTGCACTCACTGCTTCTTTTTCTTTTTTTCGGTAAACAACTGTAGTGTTTTTGTTTTAATGATAAAATAGATTGATTATCAAATTTCTAACAGTGTTGACGATGGACTTAGATAAAAAAATATTAGGAATAAGTGATAAAAAATAAAGCATAGGATATAAGTGATTCAAAGAAATATCACAAGAATTTTTTAAACTTTTTTCAAATAAGGGAAAACAAATGCTTGTATTGCACAAGTTAAGAGAGTGTGATAAGACATATCTCACCAAAAAAGTTAGAGAGTGGATCCTCTCATGTGAAAAAATGATCATGTAATTATGTTATTTGATCACAACTACTCATTTAAAAATTATACATTTTTCTCTTTCTTATCTCACATCAATGAGTGGTTGTGATCAAATAACATCATTTTTCTCTTTAACACTCACCAACTTTTTATCAAATCATTGTCAACATCAAGTTCTTACGAATTAGTATATGGCATTGGTACGCGATGAATACATAAAATGAAAAATTAATTAGCTCTAGCATTAACTATATGACTTAGTTGAGGGGAAGATATCATGAACTATGATTTGAACCCTTTTTTTTTCTTTTGTTCAATTTTTATCTCAATGAATTTTTTCGGCTTAAGCTTTTTTAACGGGGTGGTATCATTCAAAGTAAGGTGACTACAATGAATATTACTTTTCTTTCGTTTTACCAAGTTTTTATTTCATTGGATTTTTCTTGAATTTTTTTTTTAATGAGGCAATCTAAATTAGTGTATGATAAAAGTTAAATATTTAAGGAGAGTGTTATTAAATTATATATGTTGATTCGAGAGGAGGTATGTTAAATTATGAATATTTTATTCTTTTTCCTTTTTCTAAGTTTTTTTCCACTGAATTTTTATAGCAAAATTTTAACGAGATATATTATAATTTATAATTATCCAAATAGAAATATTGTAAAATATTTATATGAATTAATGACCTTTCCTATGCCGCATAATATGTGATCATCGTTTGATTTCTCATGACTTTTGATCTATCTCTGAATCACCATCCATTAATGATATATTAAATTATAATTATTTTTTTATTAATATTTAGAGTTCAAATAAAGACATAATTTCTATGAAAATAAATTTAAATTTAATAATATTTTATGCTTTCTCTTGAATTAATGATTTAAATTATTATTTTTATATTCACTCTTCATTTCATTTTCTCTATTTTTCATTGTTTAAAAACTCGGCCCGGCCGAGGTCAGGAGTTAGAGAGTCACGGGTTCAACCGGGGGTCACGGAGTCACTACGTTGACCTGATTTTATATATTAAAAAATATAAATATATATATCCTATATGAAAATTTTAAAACACAAACTATCAATAATCAAAGATTCAAAATATACTTAATATAATTCACCACTTACAACCATAAGTCAATATTACACAACCTAATTAAAGTTTCAAGATACCAAAATACTAAACTCATATTCTAATGGGATCACTACGCTGACCTGGTTCTGCCTCTTTTGAGAAGGTCCCTGACAGAGAAAAATTTAAAGGAAGTAAGAATGCGTTTTTGTTTTCCATCGACGACGGTAAGAATTTCATTTGAATGGGTAAAATTCTTACCTTTTCTATAAGATTCACGACAGCGAAGTGAAGATTGATGACGTCTAAGTCGCTGGGAGAGAAGAGAACGATTAGATTTAGGTTTGCAAGCATTTTTTTTTTTTTTTTAATAAAACGATGTTGTTTCATGGAATTTATTTAAAAAAAAAATGCAGTGACCCTTTGATCCGGGAGTCACTGAAATCCGGCAGATTTTGGAAGTCGGAGGGATCGATATGCATATAGGGTCCAACTTCTGACCCCAACTGTCAGAGGGGAGGGGTCAGGGTTGACCCAGGTCAACCCGGAAAGCGGGGAGAGGTTGTAAAACATTGTTGTTTTCTATCTTGATTTTATATTAAAATTTAATTAATAAGTTTAAAAAAAACTGCGCGAACTGAATTGCTACTACTGTCATAGTATTTTAATATCATATTTTTTTTTTTGGTGAACATTTTAATATCATATTCGATTGTAGTGCAACCAAACATGAATACTTTAATATCATGATTCGGACAAAGAATATAATAATAACAACAATATTCAAAAAGTTAAAAAATAATAAAAATGCAATTAAATTAGAATAGACTTTAGCTCGATTCAATAAAAATTAAACTCATTTTTTAAAAAATTCGACTTAACTTATTCACATGTTTCTTGACCTTTAACTTAATGAGCCAATATTAAATTTTATATTCATTAAATACTTTAAGCACAATGAGTTAGACTCAGATCTGTAACTTAATATCTATATTTCTAACGTATATTCAATTGAAAAAGAATTTAGTCAATCCAAAACCCTTAAACTATAAAATTTACATGATAAAAAAAAAGCCTTATAGAATTATAGAAGTAATCCCTACTACCAACCAACCAATGACCCTATTCACATGTTGGCAAAGTAAAACCTATAAATAAATCGAAATTATATATTTAGGCAAAAGAAGTCATCCTATTGGATTCTGTCAGGATTTCATCACTTTCGCCTTGCAGAGCCATAACCGGCTCTTCTTTGAAACTGGTTCCTCAAAAATATCAGTTCCAATATCAATTCCATTGGATTCTGTCAGGATTTCATCACTTTCGCCTTGCAGAGCCATAGCCCGCCTCTTCTTTGAAACTGGTTCCTCAAAAATATTAGTTCCAATATCAATTCCATTGGATTCTGTCAGGATTTCATCATTTTCGCCTTGCAGAGCCATAGCCCGCCTCTTCTTTGAAACTGGTTCCTCAAAAATATCAGTTCCAATATCTTCAATCATCTGAAGACTATCACGTGTGACATTGTCATCTGCTGCTTCAGAAACTTGATGCAATTGTATTGTTGGTGTTTGTTGAAATAATGAGTGTTGAACTCCTTTATTGTTGCCAGCCCACATCGTATTTGAGTGCTGAGAAATTTCCATGAGAGAGTAAATTGGCATACTGATAGCAGAAGAATCAGTAATATCTAATAAATGCTCAAGGTTTTCCATGGATGTACTCTTTTTTTCACATCGCTCATCTTCATAAGTTGATTTTGCTTCATTTCTAATTGGGCAATTTTCAATAACCCATATGTCATCCAAATCATCTGATGCACAACCAGATGTATCAAGAGATAACTCAGCCTTGTCATGCTCTGCTTGTATAGAGATTTTTGCTCTATGACCACAACCGCCTGGTAAGTATGGCAATGAACATGATTGCGGTGTAATTCCAGCCACCTGCTGGAAGTTAGGATCTGTAGTTGTATACATAAGTCGCTCACTGAGACCTGTATGTTCCTGTGAAAATACAGTAAGAGCAAGGAAATTAGTAATGTCACCATGCATTTTGACTTTTTCACACTGCCCTTTGTGTTTTGTTATGTTTAGCACAAAGCCCCTTGTCAGTTCTATTAACAAAAACACCTTTTTGGCATAATTCTTTTGAATCCAAATAAAACAGTGACTGGCACTCTACTTGAAATGTTCAGATAATCTCTGGCTTCACTAGTGAAATGTTTAGATAAAACAGATGCAGTTTGTACAGAATTTGAGCTATATAGAACAGCAGAAATAAAAACATGTTCAAAATGTGCAGTAACAACTAGGATTATTTAGACTACTGACGCCATTTACGCTCAACTAACCACAGTAACTTCTCTTGTTAAAACTGGGATACATTTAAGTGTATTCTTATATGAAATTTTAAATTTAATTACAAACTATAATTACATAAGTAAATAGTGTATGTGCAATAATCATTACTTAAATTTAATACGTTGTTCCACCAACCCCAACAAACATCTTTATTTCTGCTTAAAATCAATTTGCGCACTATGGTTTTGATTGATATGCCACTCTTTATTTGCATTGTTCTATGTAGCACAGGCCCTTAAGTAGCTGTGTTAGTATCATCGGAACATTTTAACGCATAAGTCATGTAAAAATTTCACAGCAGAAGTGCCAGTCATTGTTTGGCTTTAGTAGAATGATACCTTGGGGACTTGTTAACCATTGGGAGAAAAGTAACAAAGTCAAAACCACGTAACGACACAGTGGTTTCAACCCAGACCACAAGGGGGAAAAATAGATTTAACGCTTAAAATAATGTTAGGAAGTAGAAATCATATGAACTTTTCTATGATTATATAAACCAAGTAGGCGGTACTGTGATGGGGCCTAAGTTAATGTCATCATATAAAATGTAATGCAGGCAGCATTATTTATGGTTGTCTAGATGATGACGGTGATGATGATCAGAGAACCAAAACACTTCTTAAAAATTTATGTCCTTAACACATTTCACAAAAGTGAAACATACATAACTTGAAGCACTTGAGTAAAATGAGGTAAAACTGTAAACGTCAGAATTTTTCAGATTTTTAGCATTATCATAATCACAGACTGAAAATTTGTGTTAAGTGTGATGGGCAGACGCAAATCCATCCCCATGTAAAGTCAAAACACTTAAGAGTGAGATAATCTCCTAATGTACCCCCTTCCTCCAGCTGATATGTGGCTACACCATTAAAAACACCCCTACTTTTTTGCTGTTTTATTCCCAATAACAATTCCTTAGTTTTACTGCTTATTCCCTATCAATATCCTATTTTTTAGTGGGAGAGTTTTCAAATTTCAAATGAGATTGTTGTGTTATACCTAAGCTAAGTTATTACAACAATTTACACCAATTACTTATACATACATCAAAATTTAAATATAAAACCATGCATTGCATCACGAGGACAACTATAAAATATCTGAAATCATTGAAGCATTGAGTGAAACGAAAACTACAAGAACACGAGATCCTAATGATCATCTATGTTACGGAAAATTTCATGTAGGAGTTTAGTGCAAGTATCGACTTCAAGAATCACAAAAGCCTACTGAAGCATGAGGGGATGAAGAAACACGCTATATCCCATAAAACATGCAGAAAGAGGGTGCCACATGACCCGAGGAAAGAAGTTCAAAAAACTTTAAAAAATGACATGCAAATCCAAACAAAAAAATTAGAGTAGGTACCTCTATTGAAAATATTGAACCATTGAGACAATGATCAGATGACCGCTGGTCAAAAGATTCGCAATGTCCCAGCAAAGTTCCTGCTGTAGCTTCTGGGTCAAAAAACTCCTTAAGAACCATGCCTGAAGTGTTAAAAGAATGAGGATCCAAAGATGATGATGCAGACAGTAGAGTGATTTCTATTCCCTGGCCAGAATGCGAAGTTGATGACTCCCCATTGGTTTCAGGACATTGAACGCCAGTTCTGTTCTCATTATTTTGTGAGTAGTGGTGGTCATCACTGTAGTCAGAGGAAAACACTTCATGTGCACTGTGATTTTCCACGAGGTCAAAGATTAACCTCTGGATAACAGTTCGCTTGAGAAAAGCCTCCGCAGGTGGAAACCAGTTCAAATTGAGCTAGAAAATTTCTAGTTAGGTTAGGTTGTAACCATATAAGAAACCATATGAATCAATATGGAAGTAACCAGCCATTCTTGAAATGTTATGAGGAAATATATTGACAAAGCGAGGAACTAAAAAAAAATTTGGGGGTTATGTAATACTTAAAATTGGCATGATCAAAAGCTCAACATGATTTTTATTTTTATTTTAAAAAAAAAATAATTTGAAATAAAACAAAATTGAGAAAACGACTTACAAAGTTGGAGAATTTGGGTAGTTTGAATGGATTGAGATTAAGAGGAGCTTCAGCCAGGAAGAGCTCTAGATAGTGAAGTAGAAAAAGGCCGCAATCATATGAGTTTTCTTGCTGCGGCAACTGTCAAGGAATGATTATCCAGTCACAAAACGTTAGTAAGAACTAAAAACACCAGGAACAACTGAGAAATAAATTCAATAAGCACGACCTTCTGCATTTTCCTTTATTCTTTTTCCAAATTAAAAGCACAAAAAATATGGGGGGAAATTATCAAACAACGGGATTTTCTTTGGAGGTGTAACATATAAATGATATGTCTCTTTTTCTCAATTCCAGAATATAATATCTGCATTTTATAAGAATGATTAGACCCTTTAACAGTGGGCAAAGAGACTCTTGAGTTCATCAATAGCTATGTAAAGAGATTTTTGAGAAAGAATTAGCCCACTTTTTGAAGTAGTTTTCCTAAACAATGTATAATCAATTTTCCAGCAAAAAAAACTGAAATTTGCATAATTTAACAGTAAGGAATCTTTAAAGAAAAATGCGTATCTCAGTGGTTTTAATTGTAAAGCTATCAACATGTTAGCAGGTAATACCGCAACTGAGAGAAAACGCATATTCAAGAATCTTGAAGAAAGGTCTTCACATGTATCCTTCTGCCTCTCTCTCCATTCTTCCCACAAATAACTGTCAATTGCAGATGATGAGTCCATGTATAACTCGCTACGTTAACTTTTTAAAGTGAGAATACAAACAAGTCTAAGGAATAGGAAAGAAATAGTTGATAGAAATGAACAGATAATATTATAGAAATTAATGTGGCAACTGAAGAAAGGAAATAGAAAAAAGAGAGACAGAGACAGAGCTATAAAAGAAACTGAAAATGCTAATACATAGACTATGAAGCAACCATAAGCACATAAATTTTTCAATTGTTTGTTTTATTTATCACTCATAATCACATAACCGATCATGATTTTTTTTTCTAATTTACTTTATTTAATCAAAAAAAAGAATTCATTAAGGGAAAGAAGGGAGCAAATTCAGAGTTCAAGCTCAATTTAAATGAGAAAACTAAAGAGCCACAATAATATAGTGCTTCAAATTATAAGATTCAATGTGATGCTTAACAAAAATATGGATTTTCTAATTACTAGGTTCATCATTCTATAATCTTTCAAAGTCCTAAATTATGAAATTCACCAGTATATGTATGTACAAATAACCTAGAAGCACCTTCACTTGAAGATGATTTTACAGTTCATTAAAAGCAAGATCAACAATTTGAGCCCTGTTTCTTAGATTTAAATACGTATAATTTGTACAAAAAAGTTGGAGCGTAACTAAGATAAATTTAAAAAGCAGGTTAACAGGAGGTGAATTGTTACTTATAGCTGAGTTTAGGCATGGATTAGAAGAGAAATTGGCATTTATAAAGTGGAAGAGCTAATCTAGGCATGGATCAGGAGGAAAATTGACATTTTTAAATATGAAAAGTTAACTCATGATGTAGTGGTTTTCAAATCATTCATTTGCTTGTTTGTGCTTCAGGCAGTAAATCAGGTATGGTAAATGCAAAGAGAAGTTGCATCCCCATGCTCCAACTTGCACATGCGTATACAACACCACCGGATCTTTTTAATGAAAAAAGAGCGTACAAACCGGTATACATATTTACTTCTTTTTGGACCAACAACGACAAGGGGAGGAATGGAAATGTGTAGTTGAGAAGCTCAAAAATACCTTTGCACAAGGTTTTTCAGACCGCTATGATATCCTTTGATAGAATCCATATGCAATATACAGGGTACCCTAGGTGACTTGTCCAGCTCTTCATCTGGAATATGAATAATAACATTATCTCTGAGAATACAGATGTTTACAAGAAAGGAATTGAACAAGTCAACAACTCACCATTAAAACTGGCCATTTCGCCAGGATGACAAATGACTATTAAACTCCAGTGAAGACTGCCATTATAGCCAAAACTTAATGTTGATCGGAACCCCAATACAGATACAAATAATACAAATAAGTAAAAGTTTGATAGACTCTTACTTGAAGTTCACAGGTATGAAGATATAATCCTTTTCAAATAAATTTATTCTTCTTGTCCATTTACGAACACGTAGAAATGCTGCTTTACTGTCAGAAGCACTGGATGGATTTTTGTCCATATCAGCCAGCTTCCGGAAGAAAAAACTATTAAAAAAATGGAATCTAGGCTTTTCCTCCTCTTGTATCTTGTTCTTCAGATATCTACCAAAATTAAGCATTTTGAAATTGTTATACCCATCTTTCATGTGGAATGATGTGAATCAGAATCCAGAATTTTCTTCATTTAATATTTTCTACTTGTTTAATGTTATCCAGGAATATACACACAATGTTTTCCTGTTCCTCTAGCCCATAAATTCTTACATATATGGTTATCTATTTTCATCTCTAAAATGCATTTAAGAAAATCATATGAATGCATCTAGGTTTAACAAAGGATATGATATTTTACCCAAATATAAGGGAAAAGATAACGGAAGCTCCATGGTTCACAAATAACAATCAAAGAGCTAGACTCGACCACGGAGAACAAAAAAACAAGTGAATTTTTTTCACAAAACATTCTTAAGAAAGTGATTAATAAAAATTTAGACTAAAACTAATGTAATATTCCAAAAGGAAAACATACATGTACGAACTTACTGGATGTAAAAGTCAATAATCGTGTCATTGATGAATGTGTCTGGCTGTAATAGATCAAAATCTCTCTTACTTAGGGAAACAGCATCTGGATCTCCTTTTGGATAGACAACTTCATCAAAAGGCTCCTGAAAACTGCTTCAGATATAAAATGTCAGACTTAGCCACCATACAGTATTTGGAATACCCTCTCTCCCAACACCCCCCAACCCCACTTTAAAAAAAAAAAAAAAAAACAATAACATGCAAGGGAGAATGCAACAGTATTGAATAGGTATAAAAAAGATATCAAGAGATTTTACACCTACTGTAACTATAAGTGACAAACAATTAAAAAGGACGAGTATTCGAGGATTTATGCATAAAATTTTACCCAAAATGATAACAATAGATACCACGCATTTTTCTAATGTAATGTATTGGAAACATGAAATATGATCAAAAGGGAACCGTGGACTCCAACACACATTTCCAACAAATAGGCCATTAAGGATATTCACAAAATCCTAAGCCAAACATCTCAACACAATGCATGAAACAGGATGAACTATAAGATTAATAGACATCATATACCATGCAAAGGCAAAATAAATAGGAAATCAAAAAGCACCAAAGCAGATAATAAAATCAAAGCCTTTGCTGTTATATCAACATATCTATGTATAATTGTTAGAAAAATAAAGAAATAAACAATTTTTACTTACTTTGGGAAGTAGCATCTTGTTCCAAGTGAAAAAATTTCATCGCCTTCGACGTCCATACTACAAGAGAACACATAATTATATGTAAAATATTTTATTAAATGAAGTTATGCAAACTGACATTTAGAACACCAAAAAAAAAGTGAAGTCATAATGATAATAATCTGCCACAAATCAATCCTAGACAACTTCATGTCATTTTCAAACCAATAAGTAAACTAAAGCACGGCAAATGAAATCAGACATATATGTTTATATTCAGAACTCAAAGATCGCAAGTAACAGAGTCCTGTTAAGACTCACTGAAATCTATCAACTATAGTTGATGGAAGCCTTCAGAGTTCACCTATAATTGTAAACTTACAATCTACAGCAATATTCTACAGAACAATTGATAAGTAACTGACCAAGGAAAAAAATTAAAATTGTATGACTTACTCAAGCACAGTATTCCAAATAGCCAAGTATTTCACATTAAGAGATGTGATCTGTTTCTGTCTCAGGGGCCAATTGGAATCAACAACTGCAATCTTCAATTCCTGAATGCCTAGCATAAGTGTAGGTATGTGGATATAATCAGCAAGAGGAGAAGCTACTATCTGCAAAGACTCTGCTAACTCATAACACTAGAGATTACCCAAATAAATTTTTAGTTACAGCTTACTTGAAAAATGTAAAATCATGTCAAGTACGCCAAGATATAATGAATAGAACAATTCCACTTTAACCAACCACATTAAGTACACTTACCTGAAGTACAGCTACCATGATTTGACTGAGCTGCATTACTTGATATTACACAAAGCTTCATCATGACCATTCCACTCTGAATAAAGGAAACATCAGTAAATGCAGAATTCATACAAAAAAAACATATATTGCAAGCAAAAGAGTTTCAACGGAACTTTAAAACTCACACTTTGAAACGATTGACACTTAATATTGACGAGATCATCAACTGCCCATTCAATATTAAAGACCCCTTGCTTTGCACATGCAGTTGAATCATTGATTTTGATGCAATAACGTGAAAAGCTTAACTTTGGCCCCACAAAATAATTATCATGGTATATAACATAATCAGGATGAAGAATAACTTCCATATTTGTGTCACCCTGAAGATTGCAGAAAGAAAATAATAGTCAATACAAAAGCTGAATCAGCACAATATACTACAAAAAATAGTTATATATTAAAGCTAAGAGAATGCAGAGCTTCCACTTGTACTTCAGCTTATATTTTGGGATAAAAAGTAGGTACAACTTTATGAAGCAGTAAGAGGGGGGGTGGAGACTCAAACCAAATAAAAAATTTAGCAGGCATCTATAATCAAAATAAGTAAATTGAAATGAATTACAAAACAGTAAAAGAAGAACTGCCTCTGCCCAAAATTTGAAAAATCTCATAAGGTGAAAAAATTGCAGGTATTATTTATATCTTTTGCAAAAAGATTCTGTGAATATAAAAAGAGGTACCATGTCAGAATTGCCTCTGCAATGATTCAATCCATAACCATCCATTGAAGCTGAAATTTGCAAAATTTTAGTTTAGTTAGTAAAATGCAACATAACATTTTCAAAAAAAAAATATGTGATGTAGTTGATAAGTATAAGGAATCCAGGATTACAATAAAATAAACCATTCTCTCCGATATCAGATGTAGGACTTGATGGGATACTCTCATTCATGCACTCACCAGCTTCTGAATTAATGTCAACTGATTCACTCTGCAAAAAAATTGAACATAGATATTAATCTTGCAATTGATTCCTCTCTTTAGGATGTAATCTTACAAATAGAAATTACAGTACACTGGATGGAGACCCCAAAGGCGCATGACCTACCTGGCTTGGCTGAGGTGAAGATACGCCACCACCACTAGCGATGCAATTTGATAGTTTCACAGCTTCCAACTCATAATTTTTTTTGCTATGAAGTGTGCCTATGAGTTGGAAGCTGTGAAACTACTAACAACTGCATCAGCATCAACACAAGGAATACTGGCAATATCCTTCACACAGACCTTGTCTACCTGGGAAACTGTAAATATATTAAGTGTGTCAGCTTAAAGAAAAACAAAATATCATGTAAACCATAATGAAATTGAGATGTAATTTTTTATAAAAGAAGAAAACAAGGTATGGTACATGTCAAGAAAACTATTTCAAATTGAATTATAATTGCATGGACTAAATCACAAAGCTAAAGCAGATCTTCAACAATAAAAATCAGGACTCTCAAAATTGGCAGTTGGAATTCGTTTTCTTGTTTCAGCTTTGTTATAAAGTAATTGCATTTATATTGGGTTTTTTGGCATGACATATTTCCTCACTCGAAAGCCTTCAGTATGACCCAACAAGTAATTTTCAAGGAGATTTGTGGTGAAAGGTACAAAATCTAAGCAACAGTAAGAAATTGGACGCATTGAGATTAGGGATTGAGCATTGTTCTTGTAATCTTCATTGATCATAGTGAATTTTCTCTGTTTCACCCATGGATGTAGGCCCATATTTCGTTGTAGGTCAAATCAAGCTAAATTCCATGCCGATTTCTCTTCTTTCTAATTTCTGTTTGCGACCCTAGTTACACCAAGCTTCAATTGTGTTTTGGAAAATTTCTTTTTCGTTCACTTAGGCCAAGTGTAACTTCAGGGAATGTACTCTTCCACATGGGTAACATCTTCCTACAAATTGTCCATGCTTGAATCCAAAAAACTATTGCATAAAGTGTCATGCTAGATATATAAAACAATTCATGAGCCTCCAACTTACTATTTAAGCTTTTAGGATAGTTAGTTCTTCATATGGTATCCAAGCCTCTATGACCAAGTGATCAAGAGTTCAATCCTTAACATCTTCATTCTTCATAGTTAGATAACAATTTAACACAGAGTAAAGTGGGTTTGTGCATTGTCCATATTTCAAACCCAATAGGTTCTTGCATGACAACAAGACATGTTAGAAATATAAAACCATTGCTGAGATCTAATCTAATATCTTAAACCCAAAGGAGATTTTAACATAGAGTAAAGTGAGTTTGTGCATTTTTCATATTTCAAGCCCAACAAGTTCTTGCATGACAACAAGACATGTTAGAGATATAAAACCATTGTTGAGCTCTAATCTAATATCTTAAACCCTAAGGAGATTTATTTCTTGAGAAAACCATTATACCAATTGTAATGCTTCATGGAGTGAGAATTGTTTACTTGACACATCTAAATCCAATTGTCAAAATGTAGAGATTGTTCTATTTAACATGGAGAATGATAAGTCACCAACGAAAGTTGGTTCACCTGGTCGAACGACTAATAACATTTGCATGACTTGGGTTCAAATTAGGTAATATGCAATCCCACTGTAAATCCTCACTTTGGTTGGTAGTTTTACTTGACCTTAAGAATAGGGAGAGCCTCTGCTCATTGCTAGACACTTCTGTACAATACTCAAACTCAACCTTCATGGACACTGGTTTATGTTCCCTCCCTTTTATTGCTTGAGAAGACCAATGTTGAGTTTGGCACCTCAGGTGAAATATCATTAAAAATTTAAAATTAGTGGCTCGTATGAAAGTCATTCATTATAGTGAGGTTTATATTGTCGGTTTACAAAAACCATTAATTTATTTAATAAATGGAAGGTTATATAAACCTATAACCAATGTAGAAATTTTTTTCAACAATTGTATATCATTTTTACATTCGTAAAGAAAATTGTTTATAGAAATAACAATTTCATGTTTGGTTTATTAGTGTTTGACAAGGTTATCTTTATAGTTTCCTTCATTCTCATTCCTGCAAAATTTGTATTTCAGTGAAGAAATTGGTCAGGGGTGATATTCTTAATAATTATAAATGAGGATTCTATTTGATTTTGAAATCCTACTTATATCAGTCATATAAATAAAGAAATCGACAAAACTATTTCTAAATCAAATCAAATCCATTTTTAACTATTCCAGATTCCATCCCTCAATTCCTCCTATTTGCATCTCTACCAAGATCACTGTACACTTGAGATTATCAAAATTTCAATTCAAAACGCAATAGGGCTACTTTTATTTTTAGATTTATTGAAGCACATAAATTTTATCAACAAGTACATGCATTCCCATGTAATAATTGTAGCGAAGACTATCCTCTTAAGTATCAAGTTCCATTCTCGTACTCACAGAACTACCACATTACTATCCTCTCAGTATCAAGTTCCATTCTCGTACTCACAAAATTACCACATTAATACCTCAGTATCCAGCGTTGCTTATGCGGCCAACAATCAAAAAGAAAACAACACGACTTATACAGCTACATGCATCATTGGAAGAAAGTAGAAAAACAAATAAACCAATTGACACGGAATTGAAAAAAAATAAAAAATCGTTTGTTTCGTATAACAGAGAGTTTCTCGAAAATCGCCTTACCGTAACCGAGAAACTCGTGCGATTGATCATGGAGGCTAGGTTTGTTGAATTCGCCGCGATGTTTCGCAGAGGAAATCTCTTCCTCATTCTTGGAATCTAACGGTGCCAAATCCCTACGCGGAGACACGTTCATCATCGTCCCAAGGGTTTTAGGTTCCGAGAGCTGAATGGAAGACTCAGGCGCGCAAGAAACTGTTGGAGATGGGTTAAGAGCTTACGAGCCCACGGCTTAAAATAACTTCTTATGAAATATCGAAAATACCTTTTTACCCTTCCTCTGAGTGCGTTTTATTTAATGTATTGAACATAATCAAAATCTCGATTTAAATGTGTAATTTTACGATTTGTTTTCAATCAAATCGATTTCATTAAAATTTCAAATGATTTTATGATTTTTTTTACATTTAGATTTTTCGTTTTATAATTTTTTATTCTCCTTCCGATTTTAGATAAAATTTCCATTTTAACTACCATGATCTTAGATATTAAAAATACTTTTATTGCACAAAATATTAAAACTATTTTCAATAAACAAAACATTAAATTATAAATAGATATATTTAAAATATCTTCAATTAAAATAAAATTCTAAAATATTTTAATTTTATAAAATTCAAGACAAATTTTACAATTATTCTTTTAAATTTTTAAATAATAATCGAATTATTGTAAAATAAAAGTTGAATATGTTTTTAAATTAAAAAATACCCTTTATACTAAGGTAACCTTAGTCTAAAACCATAGACAGACAAAGTACTTAAAAAAAACAACTGAAGAGCAGAGATGTTACTTTACTACAGTCTACAACTAACAATTCCGGAATTGAGGAAACCATTTTAAAAGGAAAAGCATATTATAATCATGAAAAAATTATGATTAACATGATGATAAAATAAAATGCACATAGAGCAATAATTTTGGCCTGTGGAATTGATATTGAATCCAACAATAGAAAAACTCTTAACATTAAAGATTTGTTTACTAAAATATTTTTATTTTTTTATAATTTAATATTTTGTCTATTAAATATATTTTAATATTTTATAATCAGGGTATGCTTGGCATTCAAGAGTAAAGTAATTAATATGAAAGTAAAATTTTATCATTAGAGATTTTTATATTTACGAGGAACGGAAGTAAAATAATTTTATCATTAAAAGTCTTAATACTAGAGATTAAGGGGTGTACTGGATTAAGATTTTAAAAGATTTTAATATATTGTTTTTGGACAAAAAAATCGGTTGGTATTCGATTAGAATTTTAATGGATTGAAAAAAATTCACGTGGTATTCAATTAGGATTTTAATAGATTGAAAAAAAGTCACGTGGTATTCGATTAGGATTTTAAATGATTATTTCCAAATTCGTTGGTATATTCAATCAGGATTTTAAACAATGGAATCACAATCTCGTTATATTCAAAAAATTCAATGATTTTAATGAATTTTCTATTGTTGTAGATTTCGTGAGATTTTTTAGTGAAAAATATAAATAGTATGCATCTCTCACAATATCATCCTAACCCCTATGATTTCTTGAGATTCTTCTTTTCTTCTTCCTTTGCAGGTTGACGACTGCTCAAAATTGGGTTCAGCAATGGGAGCTTCATCAAAACCAAAAAAGAAAAAAGCATATTTTTGGACGATTTTTATCACAAAATAATCTGAAAACAACAAGCCAACAAGATTTTAATATAATCTATCTCAAAAATAAATATTTTTGAGCCATTTATGAGAAATTTTGGAAGTTTAAAAAATGATTTTTCAAGCTATGGGTCGCGATTTTTCTTGGCACAAAAACGTGTGATTTTTATATTAAAAACGATATAAAATAGTGAAAAAATAACATGGAAACTAAACCTTCAAACTAATTTTTGTCTTACATCAATGAAACAATATCAATTTAAAGAAAGATTGAAACTTTCATAATATGAACCCTGTATTTCGTAACAATACATTTATGAACGAAATTCTTTCACTATAAGAAACAATTTTTATGTCAATAGATAACCAAAAATTTGTTTCTCAAAAGCCCCAAAGCAATTTAAGGTTTCAATGTATCGATTGAAATTTTTTTGAAAAATTTTATAAACTTTCATGTAATTAACCCAAAATTTCATATTCGAAATTTTCTTTGAATATTTAATGAAAATGTGCATATGATATATGGTTAGAAAACTCTCATCACGTAAAACAAAAATCCCAAGTTTTTCAGGATCAATTGCAAAAAATTCCAAACAAAATTTTATCATGAACTTTAGGTTCTATATGCTAATTTAGAATTATTTTTATAATTAAAAAAAATTGGGTCTTATAATCATATATGCATAGCTTTGATACCAAATTAAGAAGATAATTTTCAACCCATTATATATGTGAAAAGCTGTTGTTTAGTAATTTTGAATATTTGTTAAAAATTATATTATGTTTTACTGATTGAGAAAATTATATTAGGTTTTACTTTTTTTTATTAATTTCATTGCATTTCTTTATTATTTTTTTATAGGGAAGATTATACTTACAACCTATTTTTGTTTACAACCATAACTTAACCGATGATTTCCGTCAATCAATGATTATTATTTTCGCAAATCAAACTCATTAATTAATTACAATTTGCAATGAATGATAACCGTTGATTAACGAAAATCAACGATTAAGATATGATTGTAAAATGTTGTAAACAAAAATATGTTGTAAGTATAACCTTTGGCTATTTCACCCTTTTGCCCCTCATTAATTATTTAATAATCATTTTGTCCCTTATTCAGAACTATCTACCAATCTGCCACTCTTTAATTGACTAAATTGAATATTTAATCGATTAAATGGTCAAATGAAAATTTAATCGATTAAATCTTCAACTTAATCGATTAAATATTCCTCTTTATCAGAAGAACAACCTTATGCATGGGAGATTTAATCGATTAAATAGGGAGATTTAATCGACTAAATCTTCAAGTCAACGATTTTTGCCTATTTTGGCCATTTAATCGATTAAATTTTTGGCTTAATCGATTAAAGAGGGGCAGATTGGTAGATAGTTCTGAATGAGTGGCAAAATGATTATTAAATAATTAATGAGGGGTAAAAGGGTGAAATAGCCTATAACCTTTCCCTTTTGTATTGACTCTTGTAATTTTAAATGTTTGTTAAAAATTCATATGATTTTTTAAAATCTTATAAATCCATATTGTACTTTCAAATCTTATAAATTCTATTAAAATCCTTTAAAATCTAATCTTATGAAATCTTGATTGTAAAAAAAGTTTTTTAAAAAATTCTTTAATGTCTCTTCACTTCTAAAATATCTTTTAAAATCTGTAGGATTTTTTATCACAAAAAAATCTTTTAAAATCCTAATCTAATACACTATACACCCCACTAAGTGATATACATGTTATAATTACGAGGAACGGAAGTAAAAAATTTCCAAAATTTAATTTGTATGTATTTATAATTTTTATATTATTAATTAATAATAAGGTCATTTGAACATGTACTCTAAAAAATTTTGGTAAGAATTTTAAATAATAGAAATATTCAATAAAAATATAATATTTAATATATTTAAAACTTAAATGCATTATTTTTATTTATTAGTTTTTTTATATCCTAAATAAATATTATAAGGAGATTTTTTTTGCATTTGTCATAATAATGTGTGGGAATTAATATGAAATGATTTCATTTGTTCATTATCAAATTAATTTTTATCTAATTTTTTTTTCTAATTTTTTTCTCATCTTTTATCATTGTCAATTTATAGATAAACAGCCGAGATAATTCTCATATATATATATATATATATATATATATATATATATATATATATATATATATATATGTGTGTGTGTGATTATATTATTTAATAAATATAAATTATATTTACAAAATAATATGATAACACATTATTAAGTAGTAACATAATTTTCATATACAAATAAAACATTATAATTTAAATTTAAATAATAAAAAAAAATTCGGTAGACAAATAATAATAATTTAGCTAACAAGTAACTTTACAATAAAATAATGAAATAATAAATTAAAAAAAATTAATCCATTACAAATTTTACTGTTTCATATTTCTTAGTTAAACTCAGCATAAAACTTTGCCAATTATTAGAATTCAAAGGAACATGTGTCCATTTATTGGAAACCTGAGATCTCAAACATAACAGTGTATGTTTGGTCATTTTTTTCAATTTTTCTCTAATAAAATTATTTTATATCAAAATAAGTTGATTCAAATACATAATTAATACATTTTTATTTCATAAGAATATTACAAATGTATATAAGTTAAAAATAAAAAATAACTGTTGAGAATTAAAAACAGGCATGCTTGCACTTACTTCATTAATGAGAATTGTCTTTCAAGTTTTATGGCGAAAACTATCATCTTGTAACTCTAGATATATGCAAAAAATTACTCTTATGCTACATATGATAACTTTCTCTCTACACATCCTTCGATAACTGTGTTACATCTTTCTTTTCTTTTCTTTTTCTTTTTCAAGTGGTGGAATCCACGAATTTATCTTTATGACATCAGATAATTTATCTCCTTTAACATGAGATTAATAAAACCCTAGATATATACATTATATTTGATCATCAAGTAATATAAACAAATGGAAGCGTAGCGTAATTATCTCCATGTAAATCAATTTGTACTCTTTGTGCATTTTTTTTTGTAGGTTTCTTTGTGCATTTTTTGAATTGAAATTATTTGTCTTTCTCAGGAAAATAACATATTCTTGATCAATATTATCTCTAGATGGGGTAGTAAGAACTTACTTTGATTTATTGTAGACGGTAACCCAATTTTTTTTATTATTAGGCTCATTGGCTTATAAGTAGCTTCTAGCTTAAAAATAAGAGGATCCAAAAAGGCACCTAGTTGGGGGATTATCCAGTCATTTAGGCCATTCTAATTCAAGATTTTTTTGTTTGGATTCTTTATTTTGATCACTTAATTTACCTAATAAAGTAAATAGCATTATTTATATCAAAAAAAAAAAAATAGCATTACATAACTAATTAGCAATTCCTCAGTCTGGATCTGAAACGCTTCCACGGTTCTCTCTTGCAACATACTTTAAGACTAGTTATAAAACTCATTCACTTCAAACTTTTTCTCGTGGAAATAATTTTATCTCATATACACATATATAAAAAAATATAAAAGACTCATTTTTTATTTATCTCTCTTCTTTTATCATAATCCGACTCCATACACTTTTATGATTTTTTTATAAAAAATAATTTTATCTATTTTCTTATTTTATATACCTATAAACAAGAAAAATATTAAACATTTATTTCTCTTACGTTTTCTTTTTAATCCTCCATCCTAATATACTCTAAGGTTGCTTTTTATACATATTGAAGTACAATATTACAAACAAATTAGAATAGTACAAGTGTTATCCAAAAAAAAAGTAGAAGTGTTTGAATCACATGATAATATTTTATACTTTTAGTAATTTGATGTCCAATGCATATGACTAAAAAATTTGTAATATCCATAAATAGAAAAAATCAAAATTTATTACGATACCCTTTGCTGTATATTTTTTTTGGAGAAATAAAGCTAAAATAATAAAGGTGATAAAATAATGAGTTCTTTTTTTCTGCCGTCAATGTAGATAAATTATTTACATTAAACTTAAAACGACGTCGTTTTGTGACAGAAATCAAAATATTTTTGCAATTATAATTTATTTCAAGGTTATAATAATATTTCTCGTTATAATTTTTTAATTTTTCAATCCAAAACGACATTGTTTTGAAATTAAATGTAAATAATTTATCAACATTCACCGTAGAAACGTTAAAAGCTAAAATAATAGTTAAAAAGAATTTCACTTATCGTGGATCAAAATTCAACTCGGGATTCTACCAAAAAGAAATTGACATACAAAATCTCTCGCGAGAAGAAATAAAAGGAGAAACAAAAGAATCCTATCAAATTAATCTTCACCACAAAAGTGCAAACTTCCTACTACCGCAGCAAGTTTAGAACTTACATGCACAACAGCGTAAACGCCATGCAGAAAAGATGGATGCTCTAAATTTTGCTCAACACAACAAATTAATAAGTTTATATTTGAATTGACTATAAGGTTCCAACATTGCAGCTTCACATAGAAATTCTTGCTTCCGCGTGATGTAAAGAAATTTTTCTTAAACCCAGTCAATTACCACCATAAGGTTTTATGGAATCCATAGAAGTTAAGTCACAAGAAGTAAGAATTCCTTATTAATGTTACATTTACATCGTATCATTTTAATTAGGAAAGGGCAACCTGAAAAGACCAAATGACTTGTTAATTCATGAAACATCACCTTTTTCTCAAACTAATTAGGGTCGGGTAGATAAATAATCCAAAAAAACAAACAAGAAAAATGACTTGTTAAATATGTAGCAAATTGTAGCGGGGTTAAATAGTAAATAAACAGAAGGGACAGAACAACGTTTAAGTCTGAGTTTCTGTTTGAGTGTTATGTGGCGTTTGCTTACCCTAACTTAAGAGATGTGTCAGAGGAATCATCCTCAAGAGAGGGGCCACTGTTGCAGCTGCAGACATTATTCATAGATTCTGATGAGACAACTTCCTTCATGGCAATATCTGACTCCACCAGGAAAGAACTTTTTTCCTTACACAGCATAGCCATCTATACGATCCAATTAGCTAAATTAGCTTTTCTAAAATCAAATTAAAAGAACCCAAGATCTTACAAAATAAATATACAATGAAATTCTTATTTCTCATACCTTTTGCTTTAACTGCTTGTTCTCATCTTCTAACTCGATTCCCTTTACTGGCATATGGTTAAATAGTGCAGAGAAAATTAAGAAAGTAAAATCCTCATAATTCTAATGTGACTGTAAAACTAAAAACAAAGACATCTATATGGCGGAAGTCATTATTTCACTAAATTCTAATAATATCACAAAAATTGAAACGGAGGCTTTAATGTTATATCTTGCGCTTTTAGGATTACATGTACATAATTTGACCTTGTACATATATATATAACAGTAATATCTGAGCATCTATATATGTATAACTACGATACTAGACAAGAATCTCATCCTTTTGTGGGTCCAGAGCAATATATAGTACTACATATATAGTATTTCAATTTGATTATTTTGATTTAACATAATATTATCATGTATAAACTAAGGGAAAACACTTTCTCCTTTAATAGGAGAATTATTTTCTCATGTTAGTGAGAGATCGTTTTGCGTGTAATATTTTTTTCATTTTTTATTTTTTGTTTATGGTGGGATCCATTTAAATTATGTATGTATAGAAATTTTTCTAATCTCATGTTAAATGAGAAATGGAAAGCCCATAAACTAAGTTCATCATCATTTAAAAAAGCTACCTACAGTTTATCAAAAACAAAAACAAAAAAGCTACCTACAAACCTTATTCTGAAATGCAACAATCTCGTCCATAATCCGATTTTCCTGAATGTAAAGGTTGCATTGAGTTATGGTATAAATCAACAAGTAACAGCAGGGATGTGTCTGTTAAGAACTTTGAGGTCACCACCCAAAAACTAGCTCAAAGGGTGAGAGTGTCCAAGGTCTTATAAAGGTCACATTAGTTGCCCATACAACCAATGTAGAACTATATTTCTCAACAGTGTCCAAATTAAACAAATGACGTCGCGCGTGTATACCTTTGTCTCAATCACGCGCTTGAGTCCTGTTACAAGTGTTCTCTCCAGTTGTTGCAAGTCATCCAAGTTTAGCCCTTGAAAATCCTCACCTTTCATCCGCCTGGTCAAAATATATGAATGCTGGATTTTACGCACAAACCTAAAAGCATTTTCTTTTCTTATATGTTATCTCTTTTTTCAATTTAAGAAAACTGAGAAACCTTAGTTGCTGGGCTTTATCAGCAGTTTCCTTACTCAATTCAATGTTGTTGCTATTATTCTCTACCTGAAATGAACGACAGAATTTGCCAAATTATATTAGTAAAGCTGTATCAACAATTTTGTGGAACTTAAAATTAACCGTACAGCCTAACAGTAAGAACTAAGCGGGAATTTGATTAATTACATCACTGTCTGATAAACCAGAATGAATAAAACAAAGATATGAAACTGCATAAACAAGGAATCAAAAAGAAAATGTTATGCATGTATTCAATCCGAAATTATAGAAATTAAGAAACATGTTGCGAAAGGCTTTCACAACCCTACACCATTTCAGCTTGGTAAATTTTGCCAAACAGAAACATTAATAGTGACATATATAATCATTTTAGAGAAATATGTTAAAAAAAAAAAATCATTAATATATTTACCTAATAGCTTCAATTTTTGGACTGAAATATTAGAGTCCTTTTTATTATGACCAATTAGTCACGAATTTGATTATCACAAGCTTTATTTTATTAATAAATAATTAAATATTATTGAGTTTCTTAGTATGATAGGTGGACCTGTGCATTATTATCATTTAAATCTAACAAGTTCTCATACAAGGGAACGTGTTAGAAAAATATGTTATAAAATATAAAAAAAATCATTAATATGCCTTCTCCTAGCAATTTAACGTTTTAGGTTAAAATTTCATTGAACACCTGCCTCTTTTGATTGCAATGAGACCTAAGCACATATATTTCCTTATCCTAATACTAGAAGGAAGCCACCACTTTTACAAAATGCATTTTTGGGAAAATAATTTATCCGTCCATGCTGGTATACATGAACGAATAAGTGGTGGCACTGCAATGATAATAAATCTATGGGAAAATCTAACAAATATAATGATATAATAACAGGGAAAGAGGAAGTAATGAAACTGCAGTAACTCGACGCTACGTATACATTATATTGCTTGTGCAGGAGCACCCGAACCATCATCGTAAGAAACTTTTCTTGTAATTTTATATGCTTCTCAAATATGCAGAAATGATCAATATTTATTTTTGTAAAATTAACCTGCAGACTATGTTTCTAAACTTCTAGAACGTGTAAAATTGTCCATTTATATTGTCAAAAAAGCAAATACTGGAAAGAATACTTTTCTTCTATTAATTCTTCCTCAAGTGAGGTCTTTTATACACAGAGAAACAATTCTATATATCAGTATCAGAAACAGATCTGCATCAGTAACAGAATAACAAAAAACAAATTGCTAAACTACTTCCCCCTATTTTCTGATTACAGTTGTTATTCCTATCTTTTAAAACAACAATTTAAATTCAAACTTGGATTTTAACACTCCCCCTCAAGTTGGTGCATGAATGTCTACCATGCCTAACTTGCCAATTGCTCTTTCAAATACTTTTCCAGAGACTGCCTTTGTTAAAATATCCGCAAGCTGATCTTCTGACTTTACGAATGGGAATTGGATGATCTTCTGGTCTAGCTTTTCTTTAATAAAGTGTCTATCCACTTCAACATGTTTGGTTCTATCATGTTGAACTGGATTAAATGCAATTTCAATGGCAGCCTTATTATCACAGTGTAGATTCATAGGCTGATCACAATGAATCCCCAAGTCCTTCAAGACACTCTTGATCCATAATAACTCACAAACACCATGTGCCATTCCTCGGAACTCTGCTTCAGCACTTGACCTTGCTACCATTTTCTGTTTTTTGCTTTTCCATGTGACTAAGTTACCTTCCACAAAGGTGAAATATCCCGATGTGGATTGTCTAGTGGTTTTATCTCCTGCCCAGTCCGAATCTGTATAGCCCTCAATACTCTGGTTGCTTCCTTTCGAAAAGAGTAGGCTCTTTCCTGGAGTCCCCTTTAAGTACCTCAATATTCTAAACACAGCATCCATATGATCTTCACTAGGATTATGCATAAATCTACTAACAACACTTACCGCATAAGCAATGTCTGGCCTAGTGTGTGATAAGTAAATTAGTCTCCCCACCATCCTTTGGTATCTGCCAATATCTGTTTCAACTTGGTTAGGATAAATACCAAGTGAGTGATTCATCTCAATAGGAGTTTCTACAGGTTTGCAAGCCAACATTCCAGTTTCGGTCAAGAGATCTAATATATACTTTCTTTGTGACAAGAATATTCCTTGTTCTGACCTTGCAATCTCAATTCCAAGAAAGTATTTCAAATCTCCTAAATCCTTCATTTCAAATTTTGTTGCTAAGTGTTGTTCTAATAATTTCATTTCACACAAATCATCACCAGTAAGAACCATATCATCAACATAAACGATTAATACAGTTACCTTTCCCTTCTTCTGTTTGATGAACATGGTGTGGTCTGCATTACTCTGTTTATATCCAAACTTCTTCATGGCTAAAGAGAATCTACCAAACCACGCTCTGGGTGACTGTTTGAGCCCATACAAGGCTTTCTTCAACTTGCATACTTCATTTCCTGTTGTTCTAACTCTTGGTGGTATTTCCATGTAGACTTCCTCTTCTAAATCTCCATTTAGAAATGCATTTTTTACATCGAATTGTTTCAAGGGCCAGCCCCTATTGGCTGCTATGGAAATTAGAATCCTAATTGTGTTGAGTTTGGCCACCGGAGCAAAAGTTTCTTGGTAATCAACTCCATACTTTTGAGTGTATCCCTTGGCAACTAACCTTGCTTTGTATCTATCAATGCTTCCATCTGCCTTTAATTTCACAGTGAAGACCCATTTGCACCCAATGGTCTTTTTTCCATGTGGTAATGTAACCAGCTCCCAAGTAGAATTTTTCTTTAAAGCTTCCATTTCTATCTTCATGGCTTCCTTCCACTTTGGATCTTCCAAGGCATCCTGCACACAACAAGGAATACAAACACTAGATAATTGATTAAGGGTCAGTGCATATGATTCGGATAGTCTATGGGTGGACATATAATTACCAATTGGGTATTTAATTTTGACTTTGGGATCAGGTTCATATATCTGTTTTGGTATTCCTTTAGTAGCTCTTTGTGACCTTCTGACAACAATATTAGGAGAATGAGAAATAATGTCAAGGTTTGAAGGAACTAAGATAGGTTCGGTACTTACCTCATTTTGTGTTTTCAGTTTGATGGGCAGGAACATCCAAGGGTGACTCCTCGGTTATGTGTGTTAAAGGTGGTGGCTCATCAACTGAAGATGTGTCTTGTGCAGGTACAGATTCTGTTGTAGTGGGGATATCGCAATGCACATTTGATTCTGCAGGGGCTGATTCGGATTCAATAAAAGGCACAACTTGTTTGCAAGTCCAGAAATCTTCTTCTCCAATATAATTAGAGCCCCTCTCCCCCTGAGAAGAAGAAGTCGAAACTCCCCCTGAATAATATGCCTCAGATTCATGGAAGGAGGCCTCCAAAGTAACATGCATTTTGTGAAGAAGTGGATCAAAGCATCGATATCCTTTTTGCAAGTCAGAGTAACCAACAAATATACATTTTTTGGCACAAGGATCCAGTTTGGTTCGCAAAACTCTGGGGCACATGAACATACACAGTACAACCAAACACTCTAGGTTCAAGATTAGGAATGTGGGGAAGGGAAAAATAGGATTCTAATTTTTGTTGAGGAGTCATGAAGTTGAGAACACTAGAAGGGGTTCTATTGAGCAAATAGGCAGCAGAGGTAACAGCCTCACCCCAATAATGTTTAGGTACATTCATGTCAAACAAAGATGCACGAACCACTTCTAACAAATGTCGATTTTTACGCTCAGCCAAACCATTCTGTTGAGGGGTATAAGGGCAAGATGTTTGGTGTCGAATGCCACGATCTGTGAGAAACTGAGCAAAGTGGCCATCCATATATTCCATGCCATTATCAGTCTGAAGAATCTGAATTGGAGAAAGAAACTGAGTTTGAACCATACTGTGAAATTTTTTAAACGCAGAGAAAACATCCCCTTTGTGGCGTAACAAGGAAATCCAAGTCATACGAGTACATTCGTCAATAAAGGTTACAAAGTAATATGCTTTGGAAAAAGAAGAAACTTTAGCAGGGCCCCAAACATCAGAATGTATAACTTGAAAAGGAATGGAGCTTTTATTAAGACTAGGAAAAAATGGAATTCTGTGGCTTTTAGCCATGTCACAGATATTACATTGAAATTCAGTTTTATTGAAAACAGAAAACAAATGAGGAAATAGCTTCCTAAGGTATCCAAAAGAGGCATGACCGAGCCTCCTATGCCATAGCCAAATAGATGCTCTTGTCTGATCTTCAGTAGTAACAGAACAAATTCGAGTCAGGGAAGATTCAGTGCCATCCGACATCTCCAGGAAATAGAGTTTTCCACGCTTAACACCATAGCCAAGGGTCCTCCGAGTGGGGATGTCCTGAAAAACACAAAATGATGGCCAAAAAGTTACTGTGCACTGAAGGGCAGAGGTAAGTTGGCTTACTGATAATAAATTAAATTCAAGAGAGGGAACAATGAGTACAGAATCAAGGGATAAATTTTCTGAAAGATTAATAGAACCTTGACCAGTAATAGGGGAATTTTTACCATTGGCAGTAGAAACTACAGACTGAGAGGATGGACCAACATTGGACAAATACGTAGGATTCCGAATCATATGGTCTGAAACCCTTGTATCAATAACCCAGGAATTATTCGAAGAGTGTGCAGAGAAAACCGAAGGCTTACCCAGAATTCCTGCGGAAGTAGTGTTGGCAGTAGGAGGAAAAGGTTCCTTGTCGGAAGTGGTAGTCAGTGATTTGCCTGGAAGTTTTTTCCGGGGCCGTTTATTGAAATCCCACCATTCAGGATAACCAATGAGTTCATAACATCTCTGTTTGGAGTGCCCATTCTCACCATAATAAGAGCAAGTCCGGAAGGAGGGGTTGTCCTTGCGAGGCTTCGAAGGTTGAGGAGCAGGGTCAGAGCGTGAGGGATAAGTCAAGAAGGCAGTGGTGTCAGATGGTTTCGGTGCATTCATGGTCAGACGCTGCTGGAACTCGCGACGAACATATGCATAGGAAGACTCGAGGTCCAACTTGGGATCTTTTCGGAGAATCTCCCCTCGAACTGTGTCAAACTCAGGGTCCAATCCACTGAGAAATATATGGACACGAAGACGGGCCATGGCTGAAAGCGTATGAACAACACCATTTACCGTGTCAGCCTGAGTAGTCATGCGGTGATCAATTTCTTGAAAGATAGAGAGAAGTTCGTTATAATAGACTGAGAGAGGGCGACCATGTTGCTTCGTGGTGAAAGACCGTTGGTTCAATTCGAAGAGGCAAGACTCATCGGAGTCATCATAAAAAGTTCGGGACGCTGCATCCCAGATCTCCGTAGCTGTTTCGAGTCGAATAAATCGCTGCATCAGGGAAGGACTCATGGAATCAATCAGCCAGCTTTTAACACGCTTGTTGTCAGTGATCCAAGCATCATAGGTAGGATCATCGGGCTTTGGTTTCGAGGAGGCACCGGTGAGAAAGCCACTTTTATTTCGAGCCCCAATCCGCATGTCCATAAGTTGGGACCAAAGGGGAAAGTTGGTATCATCAAGAACAACAGTGATGGGAAGAGAAGAGTTATCATTTTGAAGGATGATTTGCGGGGAGGCAGAATTTTGTGGAGGGTTGGGATTGGAGTTTTCGGTTTCGACGGAGTCGTTCATTTTGGGGAATGAAGGCAATTAGGTATTTGGAATTGTTGGATAAAAAATAAACAAAGCGGGTACGGGTGGGTTTGGGTCGAGTAAAAAAAAAAAAGGAAGAAAGGGAGAATTAATGGCAGAAATAGTCAAAAATAAAATAATGGGACTATGGAAAACTTAGCCCCTTCCTTGGATCAGAACACGACTCTGATGCCATGTCAAAAAAGCAAATACGGGAAAGAATACTTTTCTTCTATTCATTCTTCCTCAAGTGAGGTCTTTTATACACAGATAAACAATTCTATATATCAGTATCAGAAACAGATCTGCATCAGTAACAGAATAACAAAAAACAAATTGCTAAACTACTTCCCCCTATTTTCTGATTACAGTTGTTATTCCTATCTTTTAAAACAACAATTTAAATTCAAACTTGGATTTTAACATATATGAATTAAAGTATATAATATGCAAATGATCTTAAAAGAGTATTTGCATATTACGGTGCTTTTTTACACAAATGTTGCAATTAGGTTTGGTTATTTCAAATTTGGTGTAATTTTAAATTTATATTTTCTTTACTATATGGAATTGTTGGTCAAAGAAAATAGTAAGTTGTGGTCACATACCATGCACGGCTTTAGGGTAAATCGACATCTTCATTATTTACCACTTTCCGAATATAATAGGAATAACAATAGGAATAACAAGAACAACTTACACTGGTGTAAAAATAATAAATCTTATACCTAATCTTATTCGCTAATTTTCGGGCATCAGACGATCATAATATATTGGATTACACTCATTCTTACACTAGTGTAAAAAGATCTTGTCCCAATATAGCATTATAAAAATTATACTAAAATGTATGTTAAGCCAACAATTCCATAAAACTAATATTAAAATTTTAAATTTATGTAAATATGAAAAAAAAATTACTACAAATTCGTGATTGGGACCTATAATTTTCTGAAATTCACATTATTTATCTCACAAAATAAATTTGAAATTACACTATATAATAATGAAACGTAATTACAACGTATAAGTTAAAAAGCCTATTACCAGCTAAACACCAAAAAACAGTGAAGAAGTTTTAAAAAAAAATTATTAGATGTGAAGTTATTAAGAGCACAGCAATACTCCACAATTCAATATGGTTAACTGAATCGAGAGGCATAAATCGAATATATCAAAGGCTTACATTATAATAGAGAAGAGCCAACCCATCTACCAAATAAAGGCTATATGCCACCGTTTGATTATATATCGAAGGCAATCCTAAACCACTTAGTACATTAGATAAAACATGTTAGAACCATAAATAAAATAAAAGTAAACAAAGTCCGTCGACGCGGAAGATCTAAGTAGCTTCACAGCTCTATCCTATTTTCTTCATATATTTCTCACATGTTCAATAAGTTGATCAAACGTAAGTGATGAAATCCTCACGTTATTTAGTTAAATTGAGGGAAAACCTTAAATTCATTATCTTAAGATTTTGAGTCTATGATCCAGTGTCAAGTCCAATATTATAATTTCTCCCTTAGCTTATTAATAGAGGTCTCCCTTATGCTAATAAGTGATACTAGAGTCAATGGTTTAATTGATAGAATATTTGAAGACTGTGCTTAGTGTTTGAGTTCAATTTCAACTTATGATATAACATTGGAAAAGACTTGATTCTTTGAGTAATAACTCTATGAAAAAAAAAAAAAAAAAAAAACTTCTACTAAAGGAGGAGAAGGAGAGCGTACTACACGTCGAAGGTAAAAATGTTAAAAATTTAATAAAGTCAATGTTAATTAGGAATAAGTTGAATGATTAACATATTATATGGTTGTTATATGTGAAAACACCCACAATAACCAGTATGCCCTTCCCTAAACTATTAACTTTCCATTAAAATTAAAAAGAAGAAGATAAATAGCGTGTGATACGAGGTTGCTATTCATAGATTACATTACAATCAACTTTCATCTCTCTCTACCTCTCTCACACACACAAACACACTCAGAAATATATAAATGATGCACATAAATATTCACTGACAACATAATTAAGAATGCAAAATTCATATCCTAAATGAGTTCTTCAAATGGAAAGAGAAGTGAAAACAGTATACAATACCATACCTTGAGCTAGGATATTCAAAGAGCTTCCCAGTAGCTGAGAAAATAACAAGACCAACCTCAGCATCGCACAGCACAGAAAGCTCTTCAGCTTTCTTGAAGATCCCTCGTCTCCTCTTAGAGAAGGTCACTTGCCTCGCCGTTACATTGTCAATTTTCTTGATCTTGATCTTCCGCCTCGCCATCGATCTTAATTATTTCTGTAGAAAACAGAATCAAAAGTCATTTTCCATATATTTTTTTCTCATAATAATATACACATAAATTATGAAATAAGAAAAGGTCATATATATAACAAATAGGCTTTATTAATCTCATGCAACAGGAGAGGAGCTCTCTCATACTATAGAAACAATCATGTGTGGAACCACCCACAATAGAAAAAGATAAAAAAAGTAATATGAAAATTAATGTATGTGTAGGAGAGAAAAACACTTTTCTACTATGTAAGAATATATTTTCTCATAACAAATACTGGGTTTCTGCTAAATTTCCAGATTTAGTCAACTCAAAGTCACAAAACCCTAGTGAAAAACCAGTGCCAGATCTGGTTAATAGGAAATCCAGTAAGAGAAAACCTAACCTATAAAACTAAAAAGGAAGCTCATTAGCATGCCATAGTCCAAAAAAGCTTTGGTTGGATGAGTTTTGATTTTGTTGATTTAATTTGTCACTACCCTGGTGTGCTTGTTTTGCACTCCAGCTCTATCTAGACCAGTGAAAGCCAAAAAGAAAAAATAAATAAAAATATTACCGAAAATAGAAAGAAAACATCATAGCGGACTTTTATAATTTAGGACGCAAAAGAGATAGATGAGGCAAGAAAACCTGCGATTGTTAATTACCATAAAGCCATTACCACAAAAGCTCCTTGATTGCAAAAAAAAAAAAAAACCTGTGATTGTTGATTACCAAAAAAAATAAAGGTAATCTAACTGTTGGCTTGCAGCAGTTTTTTTTTTTTTTTGGTAGATTGTTGATTGCATTTGGATGGAGTGTTAGCTAGACATTCATGTTGCAATTGGTAGACTTGTGATTTGTTTCAAGTTCTGTTCAAACTAGATCATTGATTTTCTATTTGTAATTTTGTATTTGCTTCTTTAAATTTTCAAATTTGATGATTCCTGCATTTGATATAGTTGTCTCTTGGTGAAGCTGGACTTGTTCCACTCTTGTCTGTGTTTTGCTAATATGGTTGGTGTTTTAGGTTTGATTTTGCTTCGTCCCTCACCGTTTTGATTTGGTAGTGATTTTGTGCTTTGTCGGTTAATTCTTTTTCCTTTTAATTTCTTCTTATTTTTTTCCCTTTTTTCCTTGGACACCGTTAGGATTTGGGGCTATAAAGAGAAATAGGAGGAGAGAGAAAGAAGTAAAATAGCTTATTCTATCCCACAAATCTCCACCGTTAGATAAAATTATAATCTAACGATGTTAAGAGTAGTAGACAAAAGTAGGTAAAATAAAAATAGACAGAATAATTTATCCCTAAATATGATTGGGTAAACAACATCAACATTTGGATAATTTGTATATGTCTGTAAATTTTAATACATATTACCTTTTTCTTAATAAGTTGCAAAGGCGGTAGCCCAAAAAACACAAAAAATAGGAAATTACGGTTCTGTTTAATTGAGTTCAGATCTTTTTTTCTTAAAACAATTTTGCATAGTAGTTGATAAAATAAGTGTTTTTTCTTTTGGTATTAATTTTGTCCTTTAATACATAAAATTGTGTAATCAGAGTCAAAACTATATTATTTTATAGTGAGAGAAACAGTTATATAATAGAAATTATGATTGAAAAAAATATGAGGTTTTTTAATTTAAATATTAAACAAAAAATAGTTATTTAACTAAAATAACTCTCCTTTAAAAAATAAATATTATTTTTAAGTTAAAAATTAAAATATAAAACAAAACAACCGAAAGATTCTCTAATTTTGATTTTAAAAATAAAAAAACAAATATGACTATTAAAATTATTTTTACAAAATATTAATTATCAAACAACTTTTTTTTATTCTGAAAATAAAAAATAAAATTCAATCATGCCCGTAAACAAGACTCTATAAGCGGGAAATGCTAACTTAGGAGAGATCCGCAAGGAAAATCAAACCAAGACCCAAAGAAACTAGATTAATTCATGCGTTTCCTCTTTAACCAACGTGGAATTCCCTGGCCAATTCAAACATTATCAAAAGTTGTGTAGCATACATGCTAATTTAAACCGAAGAATATTACTTTATTCTGCACAGTGCTCTAAATTCGATTTTATAATTGATTAACCATAATATTATTTGTTCAACAAATTCGATCGATTGATACAGGTTGAATTTCTGTTTCGATTGATGAACCCATAACAAAGATTTAAAACATTATTTCATTTTATTTAGCCATCTCTATTTTGCAACTTCACCCTGTAATCTTTGTTAATCATTGCCTGAATGCGAGACATTGTAATACCAACAAATAAAATAATAATAATAATAATAATTTAGCGCCCATTGGACAACGCTGCATCAAGGAAGAGAGGCTCATATATATATATGGTTTAACATTTCTACAGCAGCCAATATTAAATTTTATATTCATTAAATACTTTAAGCAAAATGAGTTAGACTCAGATCTGTAACTTAATATCTATATTTCTAACGTATATTCAATTGAAAAAGAATTTAGTCAATCCAAAACCCTTAAACTATAAAATTTACATGATAAAAAAAAAAGCCTTATAGAATTATGGAAGTAATCCCTACTACCAACCAACCAATGACCCTATTCACATGTTGGCAAAGTAAAACCTATAAATAAATCGGAATTATATATTTAGGCAAAAGAAGTCATCCCATTGGATTCTGTCAGGATTTCATCACTTTCGCCTTGCAGAGCCATAACCGGCTCTTCTTTGAAACTGGTTCCTCAAAAATATCAGTTCCAATATCAATTCCATTGGATTCTGTCAAGATTTCATCACTTTCGTCTTGCAGAGCCATAACCGGCAGAATCCAATGGAATTGATATTGGAGCTGATATTTTTGAGGAACCAGTTTCAAAGAGGCGGGCTATGGCTCTGCAAGGCGAAAGTGATGAAATCCTGACAGAATCCAATGGAATTGATATTGGAACTGATATTTTTGAGGAACCAGTTTCAAAGAAGAGCCGGGTTATGGCTCTGCAAGGCGAAAGTGATGAAATCCTGACAGAATCCAATGGAATTGATATTGGAACTGATATTTTTGAGGAACCAGTTTCAAAGAAGAGGCGGCCTATGGCTCTGCAAGGCGAAAGTGATGAAATCCTGACAGAATCCAATGGAATTGATATTGGAGCTGATATTTTTGAGGAACCAGTTTCAAAGAAGAGGCGGGCTATGGCTCTGCAAGGCGAAAGTGATGAACCATAGCCCGTCTCTTCTTTGAAACTGGTTCCTCAAAAATATCAGTTCCAATATCTTCAATCATCTGAAGACTATCACGTGTGACATTGTCATCTGCTGCTTCAGAAACTTGATGCAATTGTATTGTTGGTGTTTGTTGAAATAATGAGTGTTGAACTCCTTTATTGTTGCCAGCCCACATCGTATTTGAGTGCTGAGAAATTACCATGAGAGAGTAAATTGGCATACTGATAGCAGAAGAATCAGTAATATCTAATAAATGCTCAAGGTTTTCCATGGATGTACTCTTTTTTTCACATTGCTCATCTTCATAAGTTGATTTTGCTTCATTTCTATTTGGGCAATTTTCAATAACCCATATGTCATCCAAATCATCTGATGCACAACCAGATGTATCAAGAGATAACTCAGCCTTGTCATGCTCTGCTTGTATAGAGATTTTTGCTCTATGACCACAACCGCCTGGTAAGTATGGCAATGAACATGATTGCGGTGTAATTCCAGATCTGTAGTTGTATACATAAGTCGCTCACTGAGACCTGTATGTTCCTGTGAAAATACAGAAAGAGCAAGGAAATTAGTAATGTCACCATGCATTTTGACTTTTTCACACTGCCCTTTGTGTTTTGTTATGTTTAGCACAAAGCCCCTTGTCAGTTCTATTAACAAAAACACCTTTTTGGCATAATTCTTTTGAATCCAAATAAAACAGTGACTGGCACTCTACTTGAAATGTTCAGATAATCTCTGGCTTCACTAGTGAAATGTTTAGATAAAACAGATGCAGTTTGTACAGAATTTGAGCTATATAGAACAGCAGAAATAAAAACATGTTCAAAATGTGCAGTAACAACTAGGATTATTTAGACTACTGACGCCATTTACGCTCAACTAACCACAGTAACTTCTCTTGTTAAAACTGGGATACATTTAAGTGTATTCTTATATGAAATTTTAAATTTAATTACAAACTATAATTACATAAGTAAATAGTGTATGTGCAATAATCATTACTTAAATTTAATACGTTGTTCCACCAACCCCAACAAACATCTTTATTTCTGCTTAAAATCAATTTGCGCACTATGGTTTTGATTGATATGCCACTCTTTATTTGCATTGTTCTATGTAGCACAGGCCCTTAAGTAGCTGTGTTAGTATCATCGGAACATTTTAACGCATAAGTCATGTAAAAATTTCACAGCAGAAGTGCCAGTCATTGTTTGGCTTTAGTAGAATGATACCTTGGGGACTTGTTAACCATTGGGAGAAAAGTAACAAAGTCAAAACCACGTAACGACACAGTGATTTCAACCCAGACCACAAGGGGGAAAACTAGATTTAACGCTTAAAATAATGTTAGAAGTAGAAATCATATGAACTTTTCTATGATTATATAAACCAAGTAGGTGGTACTGTGATGGGGCCTAAGTTAATGTCATCATATAAAATGTAATGCAGGCAGCATTATTTATGGTTGTCTAGATGATGACGGTGATGATGATCAGAGAACCAAAACACTTCTTAAAAATTTATGTCCTTAACACATTTCACAAAAGTGAAACATACATAACTTGAAGCACTTGAGTAAAATGAGGTAAAACTGTAAACGTCAGAATTTTTCAGATTTTTAGCATTATCATAATCACAGACAGAAAATTTGTGTTAAGTGTGATGGGCAGACGCAAATCCATCCCCATGTAAAGTCAAAACACTTAAGAGTGAGATAATCTCCTAATGTACCCCCTTCCTCCAGCTGATATGTGGCTACACCATTAAAAACACCCCTACTTTTTTGCTGTTTTATTCCCAATAACAATTCCTTAGTTTTACTACTTATTCCCTATCAATATCCTATTTTTTAGTGGGAGAGTTTTCAAATTTCAAATGAGATTGTTGTGTTATACCTAAGCTAAGTTATTACAACAATTTACACCAATTACTTATACATACATCAAAATTTAAATATAAAACCATGCATTGCATCACGAGGACAACTATAAAATATCTGAAATCATTGAAGCATTGAGTGAAACGAAAACTACAAGAACACGAGATCCTAATGATCATCTATGTTACGGAAAATTTCATGTAGGAGTTTAGTGCACGTATCGACTTCAAGAATCACAAAAGCCTACTGAAGCATGAGGGGATGAAGAAACACGCTATATCCCATAAAACATGCAGAAAGAGGGAGCCACATGACCCGAGGGAAAAAGTTCAAAAAACTTTAAAAAATGACATGCAAATCCAAACAAAAAAATTAGAGTAGGTACCTCTATTGAAAATATTGAACCATTGAGACAATGATCAGATGACCGCCGGTCAAAATATTCGCAATGTCCCAGCAAAGTTCCTGCTGTAGCTTCTGGGTCAAAAAACTCCTTAAGAACCATGCCTGAAGTGTTAAAAGATTGAGGATCCAAAGATGATGATGCAGACAGTAGAGTGATTTCTATTCCCTGGCCAGAATGCGAAGTTGATGACTCCCCATTGGTTTCAGGACATTGAACGCCAGTTCTGTTCTCATTATTTTGTGAGTAGTGGTGGTCATCACTGTAGTCAGAGGAAAACACTTCATGTGCACTGTGATTTTCCACGAGGTCAAAGATTAACCTCTGGATAACAGTTCGCTTGAGAAAAGCCTCCGCAGGTGGAAACCAGTCCAAATTGAGCTAGAAAATTTCTAGTTAGGTTAGGTTGTAACCATATAAGAAACCATATGAATCAATATGGAAGTAACCAGCCATTCTTGAAATGTTATGAGGAAATATATTGACAAAGCGAGGAACTAAAAAAAAATTTGGGGGTTATGTAATACTTAAAATTGGCATGATCAAAAGCTCAACATGATTTTTATTTTTATTTTAAAAAAATAATAATTTGAAATAAAACAAAATTGAGAAAACGACTTACAAAGTTGGAGAATCTGGGTAGTTTGAATGGATTGAGATTAAGAGGAGCTTCAGCCAGGAAGAGCTCTAGATAGTGAAGTAGAAAAAGGCCGCAATCATATGAGTTTTCTTGCTGCGGCAACTGTCAAGGAATGATCATTCAGTCACAAAACGTTAGTAAGAACTAAAAACACCAGGAACAACTGAGAAATAAATTCAATAAGCACGACCTTCTGCATTTTCCTTTATTCTTTTTCCAAATTAAAAGCACAAAAAATACGGGGGGAAATTATCAAACAACGGGATTTTTCTTTGGAGGTGTAACATATAAATGATATGTACTTCTCTTTTTCTCAATTCCAGAATATAATATCTGCATCATCAATAGCTATGTAAAGAGATTTTTGAGAAAGAATTAGCCCACTTTTTGAAGTAGTTTTCCTAAACAATGTATAATCAATTTTCCAGCAAAAAAAACTGAAATTTGCATAATTTAACAGTAAGGAATCTTTAAAGAAAAATGCGTAT